AGAGAGTGGGAGCCTGCGGCATGCCATGGTTGGCGGTCCTGTGGCCACTGCTGAGATAACAGCTAAGCCGCAGTGGACTGTGAAAACGGGACCTTGGGGCCATGTCCGGCGCGCTCGCTTTGGATCAGAATTAGATGTGGAAAAGCTGCAGCGGCGCCAGGTGTTCGGAGCCAGGGGATGGGCGCAAGAAAGGAAAGAAAAGTTATTTTTTGGGACGCAGAGGGGGCGTTTGGCACCGAAAGTGCGATCAGGGGAGGCTTGTTGTGGTTTTGAAGTAGATGGTTGAAAGGCCTGGCGCGGGAGATTGGCGGGAGCCTTGGAGGGAGGGTGCGAGTATGATGTTGAGGGTACGGAGTGTCGGGAGCGTCGGGCGTCTTGGGAGGGGTCCCTGAAGTTGTGTATGTAGGGCGGCAAGAGACTTAGTATTGCTCTTTGGAATTTTAAAAATTTTTTTGCTTTTTCAATTGGGGTTGAAGTTTGTCTGTTTGAAGGTTTTGCTACCACCTCAAAAGTTATTTACACTTCTCGATTTGTAGGGTCGCGTCTGACTGTGTAAATCATGACTAGGTTCAGCTCTAGCTAAGACAGTCCCTTCTTAGCAGGTAAACTTGTAGTCATGTCAACCTTAACTTTTCACCTTCATTGACGCTCCTAGAATATTGTCTCGATTTTTCAATACTGTTTTCTCGAGGAAGGGAAGAAAAGATATTTGGGCCTTGGAAAATTTTATTTCCAAATCTTGACGCCGCCATGTGGCTCTAAATGGGTTTGCCTTCTCAAGTGGGGGTTGCTGAATACTTTGGCTGCTTCGGTGAGGTGCTTTTCTGCAGAGGTCATTGGCTGCTTCGGCCAAATCCTTTGCCATGAGCCATGTGGAGGCGAAGGCCACATTGAAATTGGCGCGGTTGGGCAGGAGTTTCTGCTGAACCCTGAAGATTCTCAGGCTGGCTGCTGCAAATGGCCCAAAGCTGGCCCTTTCTATGGCAATGGCTCCCCCTGGTCCTGATCCAGAAATGTTGAAGTCCTTTTGTCGCTTTACTGCAGATACCCGCCGTTTGCTGATCCTCCACTTTGGGGAGGACGATGCCCTGGACGAAGCTGAGTGCTTGAGGAACGCGCTACTGTGGGCATGGCAGCATTTACTTGATTCAGCAACAGCCCTGCTAGACGGAAGTTTGGTTCATGTGCTGGATGTTTGCACCACAATCAAATATACTTGTCCGCATCAATACCCTACGCTTCGCGTCGTCACAGGCCTGCCTCCGCGTGGGCCGAGCTATTTGACAGACCCGTTGACTCAATTCACTAAGAATGATTTCAAGGCAGCTGTGGCGTGTGTCCGAGTGCTTGCAGACATGCCAGGTTCTTTTTTGACACTGTCTTGGAGTGGAGTGAGCAAATGGTTCCCTAACTTTGCTCTTGAAGTCCTTGCCGAGGACGCGCAGCAGCTGCCAAGGACAGACCAGGAGCCTGTCATTGGCTGCTTTGGCTAAGACAGGAAGTTTGGGAAAGAGAAAAAATGGCGCGCCAGGCTTGTAAGGAGAGGTCTTTTAGCCTGCTCCAACCGAGCCTCGGGAACGTTCTTGAACCTCCTTAAGGAGTAGGAAAAAAGCAGACTGCTAGAAAAAATTCCATTCAGGTTTTCTAATTCTAGGACAGTCTGCTTTTATCCTGCTCCAACCGAGCC